TTTTGTAACTAAGCAAAAATGACAGGGATTATTTGAATTACTTGATTTATATGTTAAACAAAAGGATGTAGCTTCAGACCAGTCAGCTATAATTATGGATATTTTGAAAAAATCAATAAATTTTGCCTACAATCAAAAGCTCTATTCTATTTTTTATCAAAGTTAATGGCTCAAATAAGATCTCCAGAGATTTGTAGAAGGTTTCACGTACAAGTTTTTTCAAATTACTTTATATCAAGATCAATACTTTTTTTTCTCTAGTACCTTTTTTATTATAATAAAATCTTCTTCCCTATTTAATCTTGCATAGTTTTTGTTTTTAGTTATAATTAAGCTTGATAAATAAAATTATAGTAGTTGGATAAAAATCTTAATTAATCAAATTCAAATCTAATGAATACATTAATATGAATATATAATAAATATTATAAACTTATTCTTAATTTTTCTTGTACTAGTAAATCTTATTACTAGTTTCTTTGTTTTTAAAAAAGGGTAGCAAAGCCACAAGATAGGTTTTTTCTTATCGATGTTTTACTTGAAAGGCAAAAGTAGTAATATCTACTATATTCAAATAAAACAAGGCTAAGTTAGTGTTTATTAAAAAAAAAAAATCTTTTTTTACAATAGACTTTTTATATTGTACGCACCAAGTCGACTATCCACGGATTGTGCACCCTAACTTTAATTTCAAAAATATCGGAGATTGAAATATGGTCATATGTTTATGTCATAAGACCTAAAACATTTTTTATCGGGTGCTATAAACCATCCTTTAGAATGGATCCTTAACTTGACCGTAAAATGTCTAACGCATCTCTTAAAGAGCAACGTTATGGAAAAAATAATGTTCGTCTAGCCAAGGTTATTAGAACCGGTAAATGGCATGAGATAGTAGAACTTACCGTAAGAATTGCATTATCTTTGGTATCGATACTTTTTTCTTAACGTATTATTAACTAATTTCGCAATTGGCAGGTTTGTGTTCTCTTAGAGGGTGACTTCACTGCTCCATATACCGAGGCTGACAACTCCAAAGTTGTTGCCACCGACTCGATCAAAAACACAATCTATATCCTTGCCAAACAATCTTCCAATGTTCAAAATATCGAAGTATTTGCTACGGAAATTGGTCTTCACTTTGTCACAACCTATTCTCATGTATCCAAGACCAACGTCTCGATCACCAAATATAAATGGACCAGGATGCTATTTGATGGCAAATTGCATAATCATTCTTTTCACAGGGATGGAGAAGAAACTCACGATACTAAAGTTATTGTCACTAAAAAAAATCCTAAAGATATTTCAGTTCAGATTGAATCAGGATTGAAAAATTTACTAGTGTTGAAGACAACTGGTTCAGCTTTTTACGGCTTTTTGCGAGATAAATGTAATTATAAAAGTCAAATATCTTTAAACTTTATTAAAATTGAAACTAATGTATGCAAAATTTATAGTTACTACTCTTCCCGAAGCGAAAGACCGTATTCTCTCGACAAATGTTGATGCTACATGGACTTATAACATTCCAAATGTAGCATCGGTCAAAAGTATTCCCTTCGATGAGATTTTTAACTCAATTCGTTTGATCACATTGAAGACTTTTGCTACAGACAACAGTGCATCTGTGCAGGCTACCTTGTTTCTCATGGCAAAACTTGCATTAGAAAAAAATTCACAAATTGAATCTATTCATTATGAATTGCCAAACATTCATTACTTTGAATATGATCTCGACAGGTTTGGTTTGAAAAATAAACAAGAGAATGCCGATATATTTGTATCTTTCGATAAACCAAATGGTATGTCGAATCATTATGCGATCGTGTTTGTGAACAATTTCAAGTTATTGATCATTAATGCTAAAATTTTCAGGGTTGATTATCGCGACAGTTTCAAGAACAAAATCAAAATTATAATTCGCGGTTGTAAATAACAAAGCTTCGATTTTTGTGAAAGTATTTGGGGTGAGGTAAACATGTGCCATTCATTATATTAACCAATAAAATGGGACCACGTGTTATACATACCGTTATATATACTGTCATAATTGGTTCAGTTTTATTTTATTTGCAGTAATATAGTAATCATATATTATTTTAATTGTAAAACTTTTTTTTTTAAAAAAAAAAATGTAGTTTATTAATCAATTGAAAATATAAGTACATTTTTACTTGAGCAGCATGATACATATTACAGCTATCAAATCTAACAAATTTGTCATAAGCAGTAATACTATATTCTTTATTAATTTTTTATAATTAATATATCTTTATATACATTTGATTTATAGAATAATATAAACTATGTATTAAAACTCTTTCTGCTGATCCTCTGATCATATACAAAAAAGATGTTCGCAAGAAGTTTTATACTTTTTTTCTAATAAAGTCTTTACACTTTCATTAAGCTAACTTGAAACTTGTCTTCATGTATCTCTCCTACACTTCCTTACTTATTTATAAACTTCTTTGAATAAAAACTTGAGTTTCTAGTGGCCTGAAAAGACTCAAGTACATACTTTCTCTATTAAGGATAAGAAGGTTCTAGGAAGTAAAAAGACTGACAAGTGGAGTGTTACCTTATAGAGCTAGAAGTGACAAGAAATAGAGATTTTGTTGACAGGGAAAGGCTTATTATCCACCTTCTCATATATTGTCTTGTATTCTTTTAAAGTATCTACTGTTTTTCATGGTTTTCTTGAGGAATTTTGCTTACTTCAGTTTGATCCTGAATTTCCGATAGCACAATATCACCTGGCTTCTGATTGGTTGATATGAAACATATTAGTAACTGAATATAAACAAGCTCCTATTGATCACTTCACATATTTTAATAACATTATTGGTGATAGAAAGAGTTAATTAGTGTCCCATATCCACTCCACTTCTTCAATTGGGTTAACCTACAGATCAAGTTCTATGAGGCCAATAAAATACGAGCAATAAGTCTCTAGCTGATGAAAAAGCTGCTATTCATTTAAGCTGAGGTCTTTCTCTCCTATCATCCTAGTTAGGCAAAGTTCAAGACCAAGGTCTCCTTTTTATCACAGTCAAACAATAACACTGAATAGTCTCAAGTCCATACTAAGCTCCAATCCTTTGATTATAGTTGAGAATACATTTCTCCAGAAGTTGTTGAATAATATCGCAATTAACGAGAATCTCTACTATTTTTCTGATACCCTTTTATCATTGTGAAGCAAAAAGATCTTTGAAAAAAAACTATTTTGAGCAATAGAAGATATATATCAGTAAAATTTCTTTAACTAAACATGATTACTAGAAGACATCATACTGGAACAACATAACCCAGTTCCTATTAGATCATATAAGAATAAAGATGGGTCTCTAAAGGGAGAGGCAAGGGCAAAAGTCAAATGTCCCTCACTAAGAAACATTAAAATTTTTAAATTAATACTATTAAAAAACTATCTACAATTGTTCTTTATTATCCAAATCATTGATTTATAGCATTTCCCAACTTTTGTCCCTATTGAAGTGAAGAACTATGAATTTTGTCCCTCAAAAAGGAACATAAGTGATTTGCAAAATTTTATATGCTAAATACTTTAGGGATCCATTATTACATAAGAACCTGGGGTTTATTATAAGTCACTCTCCTATTGCAGATAGATAAAAAATCACTGCTCAAAGAAAGTTAAAACTAAGTGTGTTCTGAAAGTAAAGGCACCCACTAGGTGATAAGTCTTCTCAAATGGTACACAAGAAGGAAATCAAGATCAAGAATAGATAAGTTCTTCAGACGGTCAGGAAAAGAAAACATATTCTAATCGGGCATTTCTTATTGAGAAGAGGTCTTGAGAAACAGGTCTTTGAAAGAAGCTGAAAATATTTTTTCAATTTTTACTTTGTTATTTTCTTATTAGTCTATTTAGACATTTTTAGATATCTCCCCTCCTCTTTTTTCAATCCATTCTTTTGTAATTTTCTGTATTCCAATGGCTTGGATCGATATATGATAATGACAACCTGCTGACAATGATACAGTAAACTAGAAAGATCTTTACCCAAAGACACTACAGAGCAAAATATTGTTCTCAAGACTGAACTTAAAGGCTTTTATGCTTAAGATGAGTTTGTTAGATTAAAAGAATAGTTTAACTGTAGTATGTATTATGCTACTCAAATGAAAATGTACTTATATTTTCAATTGATTAATAAACTTACAATATAGCCTGGCTACGGGTATACAAAAAAACAAAAAAAAAAAAATAATATAAACTATTTATTATCTATTTTGATAAGTAATTAGACTATTATATATAGTATACTAAATCAGTTCATTTAGTCATCTAATTTTTTTTCTAAGAAGAATATATATATTTTCTTAATTTTTTCTAATCTATTTTTATGAAATAATTTAGTTATTAAACTATTATATATATTTTAATCTGTTTTCAGTTTTGAAACTTTGATGTGATTTACAGATTTTTTTTTCCATCAAGGTCTCTCAATGATATGTCATAGGTAAATTTGGTCATATTTTTATATATTTCACTAATATAATTTTTATTTTTTTTAGGATTTTAACCTTTTTGACTTGACAATTTCTTTATCAATCAATAAGATTATTAAATTATCTTTTTCAATCTGGTTTTTGCTTTAGTTAATCATAGGATTAATTCCATTTTCCTTTATTTTATTATAGTAATGACAAAATATTGATCATTTATAATACCTATAGATCAGACTAATCTGATAAAAATTAATTATAAGTAATATTATATTATAGTAGATTCTTCTATTTCAAGTATTGATAAGATAACCAGGACTATATTCAATAACAAGTATTAACTTGTCATTTAATGAAATAATTTTATTATATATGAAATTTTGACTTGACTCTCAAATAATATTAAACTTTGAACCTTAAAATTATAATCTGGAAGTATTACTACTATACTATAAATCCATAGATCTTTCAATTATAAAACTTTTTTTTTAAACTCTCTATCAGGCTAGTTATATGCATTTTATTAAATAATTGTAAACTATATATATAATATGAATTGTTAAAGCTAAAACTCTAATTAGTTTACTTATCTTTGTAATTACTATATCAGGAAATTTTTTAGGTAAAGAACTCCAGAGATCTTTGGATATAAATCTCCGGAGGACTTCCAGCATCATTAGAAGTCTCCAGAATAAAATTTATATATATAATTTTCAGAGATAATCAAAAAAATTTTTGACCGTCTCTAGAGATTATATTAAAAATTTTTTATATAATCACCAGAGATGATCAAAAAATTTTAAATATGATAAAATATGGTTACATTAAATTATATATAAATATTATTAAAAATTTTATTCAAATAATTATTTATATTTAAAGATTATTTATTAAA